AAAATACACGTAACAAATGACTTTGAAGATAAAAAGTAAAGGCCACAGAACACTCTTGCAAAGCTCTCTTCTGTTAATTTAATTATAACATCCTAAATTGTTAACTTTATAACTCATATACTTGATCGTAAGTTTAAAGTATTGATCCGTTTGCTTAAAATTCAAGAAGAAACTCTTCTACGCACCAACACTGTGAATGCAGCGGCCTTATAGCTCCTCAGCATTACTTGACTAATGATGCACTTTATAGCTTATAACTAAATCAATGTACATTTAAGACCCTTGTAAAAAAAGTTTTGGAACACACAATGCATAACTCCAGGAAGTCAGCTCTCTAGGCTTAATACAAGACAATTAAGTTTAATGATGCAATCTACAGAACTTCTAATCTGAAACACCATGAAGGTTAAAATCTTAGTTTTGTAAAATAATAGAAAATAATTATACATAAGTGGATGTTAACATTAATTATAGCTCACTGTGCAGAATTTTGATTCTACTTTTAGATAGCACACGTAACCAGAATACAAGAGACTCAAAGTAGCTTTCTTAGAACTTTTACAGAAGTGCCATAGTTAATTACCAACAGATCTTTTACAAAACTGTAACCAGAATGCCACTAAATATGTCATAAGGACCAGAGACTTGGGTAAATGGAAATAGAAACACTGATGTGCTGCTACAAAAATATATATTATACCTATAAAACTTATAGTAATTTTATATAATCTAGAGAGAATGTGCTCTGATTAGTTAAAGTTAACTAAATATTTAATATAATAATTGTATGAGGAAGGTATGCACTACAACTAGGTATAGTGTTGCTCAAAATATATGCTCGAAGTGATGGAGCTATTAAAAAGGCTAACATTGTAAATGGAATTACTATTTGCTATATTAAATAAAGGCTTAGCAATAAAGCTTGAAACTTATAAGAAATAAAGGACTGCCAGGTCCTCTTATATACTGTATAGATTTATAATAATTCGCCATTCAGTAAATCAGGTGTCAAGTACACTTATGTAAGTCTGTAAATGATTGATAAGGAGAACTGACTGAGAGCTGAATGGATGGCGGTTTCATTTGCAATATGAAACTAAACATGTCATACTGTCTAGCATATGTATAACCGCGATATATTTGAAAAAAGTATATGCAAGCCAACTTACGTTAAACATTTTTTTTCTTTTTCATTTAAGGAATAGTTAGTAATCAATTAAACTTCAGTAAAAATCTATTGTGCCACAATTTTTAAAAGCTTTTTCAACATCAAGGATAAAGAGGGTCTGTCTAATGCCCAAGTTAATTGCAGTGTTAAATGTTATAACAAGCTTAAAAGTTGCTGCTCTGTTAGCGTTGTTTTCTAAAGCCGAACTGAAAAGTTGGAGTAATATTATAAATAAAACTAAAATTACTGCTTCCACGATTTTATTTAAACAGGGCATAAAGCTAATAAAGCGATAATCCTTAAAGTTTTTTTTTAGAGGAACCATGTGAGCTTAGTATAAGTACAATAGTGGATAATTTCTAACTACATAAAAACGTCGGAACTCATCAATTACGAGTTAATAATACTAACAAGTATAGAAGAGCAATGTTCGTGATGTTTTTATCAGTATATTAGTTGTATCTTCTAGGCAAGGCGATTTTTAGAAGAAATAGAAAAAAAAGCGCGGAACCAACAAAAAGGTTAACTTGATACTGAAACAGTATTATATGCAGATAAATGTTGCACATTTTTCTCTCCTTAAACCTCTGAAAATAAATTTATATCTTAGTTTCTTTCTCAGAAAAGTATCAAGAGTACTAAAAATGGAAGTTAAGAAATGTGATTAACACAAAAAGTTTATCTTATTTAAGCAGAAGAAAACGCTTGACAAATGATTCGTACTTAATGGAAACAACCTTGCATGTTTTTTTTATATATCAAATATTATGAAGCTAACTTGTGTGGTGTTTATCATTACAAATAATATCAATTAAATCTTATTGAGCAATAAAAGATAAAAACGAGATGCTTATTCAAAGGTGGAAATCAAAAAAGACTGTTCATGGCATTGAGAGGGGCTTATATGACATTTACAAAATACTAATGAATTATAAGAGAGGGCGTTACCTGGTATTGGCGATTGATAACTTGAAATTAAGACCCACCCTAATTAAAAAATTGATATAAACTAATTTTAAAAAGTACATAGCTTTGTTATTAAGAAAGCTAAGAAGGCTGTGACTTCTCTCTAAACCAGTGAATTAGATCTAAAGAATAAGTTATTGGTGTACAAAATGGTTTCTCGAAATTTGCGTATAACAGGAGGTGTATATTTTTTTTTAAAAAATATTATTTAAAAATGTGAATAACATACAACGTCTAGGAAATAGGTTTCTTGACCGGTTTTCGATTTGTTATTAATATCTTCTACCAAAAATGGACCTACTTCTGTATGTGTAGAAAAAGTTCTACCGAATTACAAAATTATTTTGTTTAATTAATTTAAATTCATTTTTTGTTCATATAAAATATTTTTTATTTAGTTTTAATGTTAACCTTTTTTATATTTGTAAGTGGTCCACTTTCGAAGCATATTTTGTAGGGTTGTATTAATATTTCCAGTTCACATTGATCTTGTGTTAGCATATATTTCTTGTTTTAAATTATTTTTTATATTTTTATGTCACCGTATTGGTTTTTTTTAATATAGTCTATTGAAATTCTCAAAAAGCGTATCTGGCCACGTTATTTCGTAAATTTTTCTATATTGCGCGTCAAACCCCAATCTTTTTAGGCCTTTAAATATATATTTATTAGAGTTAAATGTAAATCGTAGAAAGTAGAGGGAATAAAAAAAAGTACAAAGACTTCAATATTGACATTTTTAATGAAAACGCTAATAAAGTTTTGTTTATTTAATTGGGCGGAAAAAGGGTAAATCAAAAAATTGTATTTTTCTAACAAAATTAACTAAAAGAAGATAATGATACTAGGTCATAACTATTTACTCAGCTTAAAAGAATATAATAAGCCAGGCAAGTCTTATAACACAAAAATTATATAAATTTGAAAAATATTTAACTTCTATGTTAATTTTTTGTACTAAACTCTTAAATAATTTAGTTGTTTAACCTTATGTGATAGTAGCAATACCATTTTAATTCTTGATATTTGGTAAGTATTTAAAAAAAATTAATGTGTATTATTATAAGAGTGCCAGAAATAATATTCACTATTTAGCTTTGCCGCATATATAATGTATATAAAACCATTATATGTATTTTTTTCTTCTTTTCTAGGAGTAATAAAAGTTATAAATGTACTCCATATAGATGATACGACTTAAAAGCCGTAAGGGTTCTACGAAGATAATATAGCGCCTCAAAGTTACAAAAGAGAAAATAAAAAAAAGTAATAAAAGAATAAAATGGGCTATTTAGTTCAACCTTAGCATGGGAAAACAGAGAAAGAATTATATTATAAAAAACGCCAGACGGGTTAATCATAAAGAATAAAACAAAAATCGAGGAGCTTTCCACAGGGCGTAAGACTTTTTTCAGGGCTAGGGAAAATTAGTTCCTCGAGACATCAACGCCTAAAGTAAGAACTAATATTACCCACCACTTTTTTAACAAAAATAATTTAAAAAACTGGTGGACTATTGCTGACTACTTTTTACGACAGCGGCTAAGGGCTAAAAGTCGTATAATGATTTAAAACTACTACTACTAATTTTTTAAAATGAAAAGTTATAAAGCTTTTTCTTTATCTTTTAAATAAAAAACTAGTAAATGCTTATTAACGTACATATCAAAATGGAAGGTGTATAATTGGAGCGTGTAAGTGTGAGAAGGTAGAAAACAGAAACTGATAGAAATTTTCATATAAGCAAGGAAAATTGTATTCACGTAAAATATATTAAATTGCATCAGTCGAGAGCTACCAAGTGAAAGGATTAGAAGAGAAAGGAATAGCTAAAAGCGTATACATGGAATAACATAAAAGTTTAAATATTTTAAGAATAAATTAGATCGCTATATTCATATAATGTAAAACTAACTATTTATGACTACAAGATGTTGTTAAGAAGTAGAAATAGAGTAATAAATATATAAGTATTATATTTAAAACTGAAATACACAAATTTATAAGTCGGCAGCATTGCAAGGGCTTAACTATTTTGTAGTGTTATTAAAAAAATGGTTAGTAACTATCAAAGTTCGTTCTATAAAAATAAGCTTAGTTTATCAAAAAACTTTTTTAATATATTTATTCACTATTCAGTACAATTTTTTTTAAAAAAACCATAATAAATATAATAAAATATCTGCAAACCAAATATAATAATAAATCATTTAAAGTTGAACTAATAAGAAATGTAATCAGCTTGCCTTTAAAATTTGCTATAAATGGAAAGGTTTGTTAAAATGCCCTTGTATATTTGTAGAGATAACAAAGTAATGCAAATGCGGTCGATATTCTTAAAAAATACTTTTTATAAAATAGTCTTAATAAAAAGAGAATGATCGCTGTAGATACTTCAGTGGAGTTCAAAAGAAAAAAAAAATTATTATTCTGGCTGGAAAAAATCACGCAGACTCCTCCGAAAGACTATCAAAGTCTTTACGACATTAAGGAAAGGCTTAAAGATGGGGTGATTCTTTGTAAATTATTGCAATCTTTGAATTTAATTGAATCCGACGTTAATTTTCAGCAAACTGATAATAATCTTAATGATGATGAATTTCTTAAAAATTCGAGATTATTTATAAACACTCTGGTAAAAATCGACGCACCTCCAAAAGGTGCAATAATTAACTTTAAAATCAATTTATTGTCTTTTCTAAATTTATTTCATTTGTGCACTTCGTGACTATTAACAATTTATATTATAAGAATGATATTATAAACTTTAGTAGTAATTATTATTTTTAACTATTACAAAAGCCCAATTCTCCATTTCTACCTTTTTTTCCACTCAAAGCGACGAAGAAGATATAACTGAAGCTCTTAATAGCTTGGAAATCTTAATATTTTGGTTAAAAAAAAACTATAATCTTCCGAATTATGGAAGTTTGTTAGAACTCAGGTTTATAAAATTTATCCGAATAAGTAGTATTATTATAATAGTATTTGTAAATTTTTATGAATATTAAAAATATATATTTCGTTACTAAATTATTGTTATTACTATAGCTATTAATAGTAAATGTTAGTGTTTATGTAATAAAGTAAGCTTTTCGCATATATTAATTATTATTATTATTACAACTATTTATAGTTAAAGTAATTGTTTGTGTTAATCAAATAAGTTTTCAATAAATATTGAATATTATTATTAATACTTTTTATAAGAAATGTAAATGGTTATGTATTTTAAATATGTATTATATTTATTTTACTGTTATTATCATAATTATTCCTTGATGTAATTGATTATATTATTTAAATCAGTATTTCGTATATTTATTAAATTTTTTATTACTCTTTAATATTTGTAGTAATTTATGTTTATTATATGAGTATTACATATACTTTTTATTATTATTACTACTACTATAAACGTTTTTTTTTGCTACTATACACGCAGACGAACTTCTTTTGACGATTCCGTTTCGCAACAAACAGAAATGCCACAAGTTCAAAAGGATTCCTCTTTTTTAAAGTGTTTTTTAAGGAAATTTTGTTCCTATTTAATTAATTTTATCATAATTTTTTACAAAGACGAGCTCTTACCTTTAGAAATCGCAGACACTCAACTTCCTTAAAAGCTCTTTACGGTAGTTTTTTAATCTTATTTTTAAAATCCCTAAAAAAAAAATTTATAAATATTTTTTAAATTTTTTCTTAATTATAAGGTTTTGATAAGGAAATTGCAGAGAAAATCGAAGCAAAAAGAGATAAAAGTAACGAATTTTCTATAAATTTCTTTTTTGAAGAAATTTTTTACACAAAATTCCTACTAAAAAGTGCTAGAATGGAATGTTTTAAAGTGGATTGAGAAAGTTACTAACGTTGACTTAGGAATAAATTTTGATAATTCTATTCAAATTTATACTGAAAATTTAGATGAAGCTTTTTGGAATCCTTATGAATTGGGTATAATATTTTAAATTAGCAAAGGAATTTTTTTAAAACTAATTTTATAATTTATTAATAATTGAAATTATAAATTAAATATAATAAAAAAAATTTTAAGAACTTTTTGTAAAATATATAAAAAAAATTATGAAATTTATTTATCATAACATTATTAATCGGTAATTAATTATTTACTATTTTATAAAAAAATAATTATAAAAGTTATTCAACATAAATTTTTAAAAAGTAGTTTTTGCGAAAAGGACAAATTTAAAATATAATTTTTATAGAAAAAGATTATAAAAAAAAGTTATTCTTATATAAAATAAATTTAAAAAATATTAAAATAATTAGAAAATATTAAAAAAAAAGTAAAAAAAAATTAATTACAATAATAAAATTTATTATTAAAAATTTTAATAATTTAATAAATAAAATTATAAAAATAAAAAAAAAATTTTCTATTTAGATTGTTTATATTTATTGAATTGTCAAAATTATTATTACTTTATAAAAATTTCATATTTTTTTTCTTATAATAACAAAAAAAAGATTTCTAAATTAAAAAAATTTAAAATAAATAGGAAGTAAATAAATAATAAAAAAATATTAAGAAAAAGTTCAAAATATTAGATAATAAAAAATTTATTATAATAATTTTATAAAGAAATTATAAAAATTGTATAAAACGTAATTGTACTAATAATGAAACATAAAAGTTGTAGAAATGCTTAAAAAAATTTCTAGGATAAATAGTTAATTGTTTTTATCAGAAACTATTAAATAGAAAAAAGAAAATTCCTTAAATTATTGTATTTATTAGTATTTTAAATAGTTATAAGTAATAAAATTTTGTTTTTTTTCTGATTTCTACTTTATTTATAAATTTTTTATTATTAAAAACTCTATTTTATATGAAATTTTCTTATAACTGTGTAAACTTTATAAATAATTATAAAGATTTATTATACTAAATAAAATTTAAAAAAAATAACAAAAATATTTTCTTGATATATAAAAATTTTATATAATAATAATATTGAAAAAATTCACGCATAATAAAAATTTATAAAAAAATTAAAAAATTATGATTAATAGAAATTCAAGTTTTCCTTAATTATAAAAGTAAAAATCATAAAATTATACTTATTTCTCAATTTTTTATTTAATCAAAAATTATTTATAAAATTTTCTTATTAAAAATATTTTTATATTTTATAAAATTTCTGTAATTATTTATAAAATTAAGTTTATAAAATCTATTATTAATAATTTTAAGATATCCTTCGTGACGGGCAAGTCTTGTGTAAACTGGCGAACACAATTTGCCCAGAAGTTATCAAGTATAACAAAAAAGAGCACGAACTTGCTTACTTGGAAAATGTAAATAAGCAGTATTAATAATAATACCGGAAATAATAATAATTATAATAATAATTAAAAATAATAATATTAATAAATGTTAATTTTAAAATTACTAATAGATAATATATAACATAATAGTAGTAATTATAGTGTTAATAATAATAATTATTATTAAGAAATATAATAATAATGGTAAATGTTAAAGATAAATATAATAGTAATAAAAATATTCAAAATAATGATAGCTGTTGAATCGATAATAATTATTATTTAAAATACTAATTGTAATATATATTAAATATAATAATTCTAAAAAATAATAAAAATAATAAATATTATAAATCTTAAACATTAATAATAAATATTAAAAAATATAGAAGTGGTCATAATAAATGTTTCGTTTAATAATTATAGTGATAGATATATATATAATGGAAAACATCAAGGAACTTACTAGCAATAATGTTAAAATATTGGGAAAAAAAATTATTGTAAATGTTAAATTGGTTAAAAAATAATAATAGTAATAATTAATGTTAAAAATAATAATTTTAATAAATAGAAAAAAACAATAACATGAATAATTGATAATAATAATAACAGTAATAACAAATTATAAGAAAAAAATTATATAATAATGAAATAATATATTAAACCAATAATTATAATAATAAAAAATAGAAAAAGTATAAATAATAACGATTAATAATTGTAGTATAAATTTAAAAATAATTTATTAATGTAATAATAATTATTATAAAGTTTTTATTACTACTTATTAAAAATAATAATAATAATAGTTAAATTATAGTTAAATTATATAATAATTTATTTTTATAATTTTAATAATCATTGTAATAAAGTTTTTATTAAATTTTATTAAAAATTATAGTAACTGTAGTAAGTATTATATAGTAATAATAAAGTTTTTCTTACTGATGCTTTATATTATTATTGAAAAAAAAAAATTTTTTTAATTTATTATTATATTATTATAATAATATAATAATACAATAAAAATAAAAACTGACAGTAGTACTTATAATAATAAATAATGAAAAAGTATAACTTTTATTAAAAAATAATAATCACATAATTATATCATAATTTATTGATATAACAATAATTATTTGGTTTATTATAATAAATTCATTAATTTTAATTTTTTCTTATATTTTTAGTGAAGTTTAATAGAATTTATAGTAAATATATAATAAATAATAATAGAAACTAAAGTATTAAAGTATCAATCATATTGGAAAAAAGAAATTATAATATTATTAATATATAATAATATTAATGATAAGGAAGTTTTCTTATTAATATTTGTATTTATTTTTTTTTAATACACTTTATGAAGTTTAAAGAATTTATAATAATAATTATTTACTATTAATTTTTTTAACTTTTTTTTATTACTTTTCCTGTAGCTTAATAGAATTATAATAACATTAATAATAATAAAGTTTTTCTTATTAATTTTTACATTTATTACTATTAATTTATTTCTTTATAATTGTTTGAAGTTTATTAGAACTTTTTTAATAATAATTTTTTTTATTTTTATTTGTGTTATTATTTTTTTACTTTTTTATTAATAATGTTTTAAATATTAATAGGATTAATGGTAAAAGTAATGTTTTATTTATTTATTTTTTGTAATGGAAATTTTATTTTTTCTTTTTATATAAGTTTTTAAAGTGTGTGAGAATTTATAATAGGAATGATAATAAAGTTTTATTCGTTTATTTTTTGTATTATTAAATTAATTTAATATTTTTTAATAATTTATTAAAGTTTAATAGAATGTATAACAATAAAATTTATGATGTATTACTAAGTTTACTTGATAGTCAAACTTTATATGTAAAAATAATTCTTTTGTATTATTTTTATTATTTTTAAAAGGAATAACGATAATAATAATATCTTCACTTTTTTTTTAATTTTTTTGTTTTCCGTCTTTTTTTATTATTTCTTAATCTTTAGATAACAATAATAATAATAAATATAAACTTTTAATGAATAATATTAATAAAAGTATATTATTTCTATTTATATATACTTTTTTGCTTTAACTTTTTACTTATTTATAATAATAATATAATTCATAATAATTTTTTTACAAACTTTTTGCTTCTGAATATTTTTTTCTTATTATTATTAATACTTGTCTTATTATTATTATTATATTGCATATATGTTTCAAACGTTAATTAAAAAACTTTTAACCTTTTTATTATTTTGTAGAATTTTTAATATAAATTTTCATTTTTTGTGTACATTTTATATAAAAATAATTATTATGACCTTTAACCCCTCAAACTCTCACCTTTTTCACCAATAAGATTAAAGAATTTCTCAAAGCACTAAAAGTGGTTGGCGCACCGGAAGGCTGCCAGTTCAGCCCGGAAGCACTTTTAAAAAAAAGTGATTTGCACTCCGTTTTTGTGGCGCTTTCGACGCTCGGAGATTGGTGCGACCAAAAGCACAGCGAACTTGAGCTTCCGTTTTATAATGAAAATAGGTTTTTATTTATAATGAATAATTTTCTGAATTCTAAATTTCGAGTAAATAATAATAATAAAGAAGACATTTTTTTTTATAATAAAAATTATTTCTTTTATTGAATTTCAATATTTATAATGATTTCCATTGCCTTTTTAATGAGTTAATATTTATAATGAAGAAATAAAATATAAAAAAAAATTTTTACTACTAAATTTCAATATTTGTAGAGAATTATTAGTATATTTTTTAAAATGTTGAGGAAATAAAATAAAATAATGAAAAATAGTATGAATATTTTTCCTTGAATTTTTATATTTTGAATTATTTAAATGTTGAGTAAACAATAATAATAATGAAAATAAATTATAAAAAAATTTCTTTTATTAATTTTTAATATTTACAATGAATAATTTCTTAAAATAATAAGACTTTAAGATTAAAAATTTAAAAGTAAATCAGCATAATAATAATATAATATTTTATATAACGTTTAATATATTTATTATTAAAAATTTATTATATATTTATTATGAGTTAAAAAAAATTATTGAGAAAAATATTTGGTATATAAATTTTATTATTATTACTTTCATTGTAAGTTTCGTTATAATTATATTTTCTTTATATATTTTAATAATTATTTTTAACTATTTACCCTTTTATTATTTATATTGTTAAAAAAAAATTTCTTTTATTTCTAAAATGATTTATAATTTTACTAAAATTTTAATGTTTTCGAAAAGTTGAGTGGATAATAATAATAAGTTAAATATTGCTTACTACATGGCAATATTTATAATGAATACTCTTTCACAAAAGTCGAGTAAACTATAATAATGTACGGAAAAAAAGAAATAAAAGTTTTTTTAATTAGATTTCAATATTTGTAATGATCATAAATAAATTATTTCAAAAAGTTGCATGGATAATAATATTTATACTTATAAGAAAAAACATTTATTTTTCAATATTTATAATAAATTTTTTTTTATATATATTTTTTCCAAAAGTTGGGTAGTTTAGTTTTTAATAAAATATAAATATATTTTTTATTATGATTTTAAAATT